AGGTTGACTCAGCTTCCAATCTTTCAAAGGTAGGTAAAATGAGGACCCAGATTGTGGGGGCAATAAGCTGACTTTGTATAAATATACAAAAGTATGAAGGCTATTGCTTAACGCATTGTAAGCCGCCCTGAGTCTCCGGAGAAGGGCAGCATATAAATTAAAAAAGCAAAAAGCAAAGCAAAATCAATGAGCAAATAAATGAGTTTGGAAAAAAAATGTGGAAAATGTAAAAGTAGTTTTATCATCTTTGGCGGACTTCTAAAAAAGCTACAAAGTTTTGGGTCCAAACGCCCACATTTTAAAGATTAATATTCAGCTGAAGCCAGAACTTTTTGCTGGGACCAAAACTGGAAAAAAAAAACTTATAGAAGTTTGCTTTTGAACAGGATAACTGTTCTCTTGCCATTCTATAGAAGGAGGTCTGTTTGAAGAGATTTTGAGCAATTAGGAAAACTCTTCACATCCATCTTTGTCTGCCAAGGCAACACTGCACGTTGTCAAGCTTTTAGAAATCCCAGAGTTCAGGGCAAGTTTTATTATTCATGTTCTGATGAACAGAGTTATGTTTGCTTTCTTGCTTTGGCTTTGACCTTTCTTCAAACAGTATCTATCCAGTCTCCTTGGGCCCTGCTTTGCATTGGCTCTTATTTCCAGCTCAGTGTCCTGCCCTATTTCTCAGCTGCCTCTATTCATCTATTCCTTCAAGGTCACCTGGTTCTCTGGCTTTTGGTCTTCTGATAAAAGACGTGGCCTTTTGTCCTTTGGGGTATTATTTATGTCTTTTTTTTTTATCAGTTCTCCCAGTGGCGTTTTGATTTACATTGAAGCAAATTTTACATTCCTTGGTTTTGTTTATTTCTTGCGGGTTAATAGCCTGTAGATCTAATCACTGAAGTACACAAGCCTTATGATCTGTCTTCCTTTGTTTTTCAGATGAATATCCTACCCCCAAGGTCATACTGATTGTGAGTGGGAACCATCCGGACACATCGCTCCTTCCAAACCCCATTCCAGTCTCTGCTGCTTTGAGAAGTTCCAGCTTTTAACTCTATGTGGATTTGATAAAAAAAAAATATGCAGGCTAGACCGTATTGTAAATAGTTAAAGGTAACGTTTATGTTTTATTCAACAGGCCCTTTCATTATTTATTAACCATTTCCATTAAGCTAAATCATTGGAATTTACCTCTCTTTCTGCATTTCTGTTGTCTTGAAACATACTGGTGGTTGCCCAGGAAGAGGGACTTAAGAAAGTCTTTAGATGATGGACAGACTCTTGCAGCCAGATCTCTGCCATTCCACGGTGGCGCAGTAGTTAGAGTGCAGTACTGCAGGCTACTTCTGCTGACTGCCGGTTGACTGCAATTTGGCAGTTCGAATCTCACCAGGCTCAAGGTTGACTCAGCCTTCCATCCTTCCAAGGTGGGTAAAAAGAGGACCCAAATATGTTGACTCTGTAAACCGCTTAGGAAGGGCTGGAAAGCACTGGAAAGCGGTATATAAGTCTAAGTGCTTTTGCTATTGCTACTGCAGACCTGGGACTGATGGCATTTTTTCCTATTGCCTGGTGATCCAATGAAGAGGAAAAGTCAAAGACAGAAGAATCAATAGATCCCTTTGCTTATCCCATGCTGTTGTTGTTATCCATTCAGTCGTGTCCAACGATCATCCACATCTACCAATCTTGCACTACTTCGAGTTGTTCTATACTGGTGTCAACTTCGATGGTTTCCAGCCACTGTGTTCTTTGGCAGCCTGGTTTACTTTTACTGCTAACTCTTCCAAGCATAATTGCTTTCTCCAGTGAATTCCCCTGCATGATGTGGCCAAAATAAGTAAGAGGCAGTTTTGTGACTTTTGCCTTCCAGTGACGTGTTAGTCACCTTTGCCCTCCAAGGAATACGTGCTACACATACAAAATCAGCTGTCCTGATTTTATGGTGGGTTTTTAAAATTTGAAATTGGTTTTAAATTGAAATGTTTTAAATTATGGGCCAAACTTATTTAATTATTTTAAATCTATTTTAACTTTTGTGTACAAATGTTTTACTTTGGCCGTTCACCGCCCTGAGTCCGAAAGGAGAAGGGCGGTATAGAAATCTGATAAAATAAATAAATAAAATCGAGACAGCACAATTCAGCAGTTAAGTCAGAAAAGACACAGTAATGGTAGGATAGAGATGGGGCGGGAAGGGAGGAGGCAGAAAATGTTATGCATCTGCTCTCCTGAAATCTCAAGGATGGATGGATAGCAGTTCGACTCAGTTGTGAGTAAAGGCTTTTGTCTGTAACCATTGGTAGAAGAATAGAAGTATTAACTGCACGCTACATTAGAAAGTATACGTTTCCCTGTATAGCAGGGGTGTCAAACTTGATTTCATTGAGGGCCGCATCAGGGTTGCGTTTAACCTCAGGTGGGTGGGGTGGGTGTGGCCAGGATGGGAGAGGCCAGCTTGACATTACTTCCATTGGGGGCGCCTGTAGTGGCCCAAGTGCTCCCAAGCTCCGTTTTCGGCTGCAATAGCCTCCTGCAACCCTCTGCCAGCGAAAATGAAGCTCGGGAGGGCCACGCACAGCACCTCGCGAACTCAAGTTTTCAGTTGCAAAGGCCTCCTACAACGCTCTGCCAGCAAAAGTGGAGCACGCATCCCTCCTAAGCTCCATTTTCCCTGGCAGAGGCACCGCCAGTGGTTAATGGTTAAGCGAAGCAGAGAAAATGCCGAATGGTTTTGATGGAAATTTTTTAAAAAGCCTATTTTGTAGTGGCTGAAAAAGCTTTAAAAGGAGTCTCAAGCAGAATAAATAAATTAAAAATTATAAGGGCTGAAAGGATTTAAGTAACTGAAGTAACTGAAACTGATGTAGGGGAATGCCGAAGGAGAATTTTAGAGATTTCTGTGGGAACGATCATTGAAATTATTTTGTTGAAAAGTGGGATTTTAAAAAATGCTATAAATATTACTGTCCAAGAGGCAAAAAAAGTGATGAAAATGGAGAAATACATGCAGTGAGAAGGCTGGGGAAAAAAAATATCAGGCTGCCAGAATAGACAAAGTTAAGTGAATAAATGTTCAAGTCAGAATGTGACTGATATGAAATGGCTTTGTGAGTTATTTAACATACGTGAAGACCATCTGTGCCTGACAATTGGAAGAATGTTGTTATTGTTCCATAGGAGAGGCAGTAAAAACTACAGGAAGAGATTAGGTTCCTGCTTTAGCAGAATTAGGACTGAAAGGAAAGAGATGTAACAATAAGAAAGATACGGGAAATACCAAGCAGGAATATGCACACCAGTTCCTTATTCTTCCATAGATATGAATACGAGAACATTTTTTTGGGTGCATTTGTTGATTTAGAGCAGGGGTGTCAAACTCAAGGCCCGGGGGCCGGATCTGGCCCGTGGGGTGCTTAGATGTGGCCTGCGGGGCTGTCTTGGAAACAGCAAAGGACTGGCCTGCAGTGCCTCTGCCAGTGAAAATGGAGCTTTTGTGAAACTCCGTTTTTGCTGGCAGAGGGTTGCAGGAAGCTGTTACAGCCAAAAACAGAGCTTGGGAACCCATTTTCACTGGCTGAGCATTTGGGCCACCACAGGCACCCCCGACACAAGTGATGGCGAGCCGGCCATGCCCACCCTGGTCCCCCGAGGTCAAACACAACCTTGATGCAGCCCTCAATGAAGTCGAGTTTGACACCCCTGATTTAGAGGAAGCAAACAATAAAGTGAATGAACTTGATTTATGGAATGGTTTTCGTAAACTGAAGTTGAAGGTTGATTGCCGAAGGAAGTAATACGATAGGAATAAAGCATTTGCGAAAAGAAACGGAAAGCTAACGGTTCAGAATTGAGCAGGGGTTAAGAAGAGCGTAATATATCCCTCTGATTGTTTAATGTTATGGATACATGGATAAAGATTGTTGTTGGGACAGGAGAGGTGTTAGATGCACAAGTGTGAATGCAAGGAAGATTTTATTGATGGGTGAGAAATCCATATGATTTATAGAAGACGTTAGATTGCATGACACAATGGGCAGCAGGCTGTATGAAAATTTAAAAAATCAAGATCAAGATGGTAAATCACTGCAAACTATACATAACTAGTGAAAATCTAGTAGACAATTTTTTGTACCTTAGTGGAATGTTGAGTAAAGATGGAAGTACGAATGGAGAAAGTTTGGAGACGTGCAAGTGCTGCTTAGAAAGGTGTGGTTAGGATTGGTTCCAAGGAATGAATGTTTATCGAAAGAAACAATAATGTGTGCGCATAAGGGCATGCTGAAGTATAAAGAAGAAATAATAGATCCGGGAATGAATGGGTGCTGAATGAATACAGATCAAGATCAAAATAGAACTGGTATGAGAAATATATGTTGAGGTGATTCAAGCAGAGAGAATAAAATGAGGATCAGATTTCAAAACAAACATAGGAAGGAAAAATGGAAGTGTCAAGGAAATTAGAGACAGCAGTTGAAAACCTCAGAAAGAAAGAGAAGTTTAAAGAACAAAATCCTATGTATAAATCAGCATATGGATGGAGTAAAGAAGGTGTGGAAGGATACAAAGGGATCCCACCCCCTGCTCCGGCAGGAGATTCTATACCATTTCAGACAAATGGCTATCCAATCTCTTCTTAAAAACTTCCAGTATTGGAGCACCCATAACTTCAAGAGGAATAGTGAATAATCAGAAGAACAGGAATAGATGTAAATTTGATTCAGATATATATTTCCTTTTCTCTTATGTATCTCAATTTGTAAGGCTTCCCACTTCTAGCCCATTTTCTGTGTTTTGCATTGAGAAAAGACATCAACTTCATCGAATTTTCCATTCATCTTTTTTCCTTTCGGCTGAAGGTCAGCTGAATGTCATCATTGAGAAAAGCCAGCCTTGTTTAAATCCAGGGGATTTCCTATAGAGAAAGACATCACAGAAACATTTTTCTTCCAGCGATTTCTTGGGATCCATGGTAATTGGAATAACATTTCACAAGCACTCAAGGCTCTGTAAAAAGCAGCTTTAAGAACAAATCATAGTAAGATCACAGGCTAGGGAAAAATTACAGACAGAAATGCATGCATGGGTAAGAGTCAACGTCTAAGGTTAAGGGTCTTATGGAATGAGAAATGGGAAGAATGTTATGTTTAACTTGTGGGTTTTTAAAAACAACAACAAAGACCAATTAAGAAGCATTCTCTTCTTCAATATTCTTCAGTTTTATCCATAATACAGTGCAAAGCCAGATTTTTGCAGAATGAGCCCTGTTGCAAAAATTCCTTCATATTAACACCCCACCTGCCTTCCGCTTTGAAACTCACAGACAACTGAGAAAAGAGTCTGTATTTGGACATTTTGCAAGGATTTCTGAATGTCGGGATTCATTTATTGGGCTCTCCCCCTCCCCACCTTATCATTGAAATGTTTCAGCTCAATTTTGGGGTACTGGATAAGAGGAAATGCTGACTAGGTCTAAGGTTTTTTGTTTTGATACAACAAATTCCTTCTACTCAGTCTGCTACTCATCTAATATCCACAGAACCATCCTTGCTCAGCCATTTTCTACTAGAGATACTAGAGATGGAACATTCAAACCCAAGTAACAAAAAGATTTTGTTTGGTTTTCCAGACAAAAAAAACGGGGGGGAAACTTAATGAAAAACAGAAAAAGGTTTGCAGGTCAGTAAGCAAACCAACTGTCAAGATAAATGTCAGAGTGGACTTAAATTTCTGCTTAGATATTTTTGAAGTCAGCCGTGTAGCTCAACAGTCTTTGCCTCCCAAGGTTTGTCTTTTAGTGCTGTAATGAAGGACAGTCACTCCACTGAAGAAGACCTTCCATCGTGGAGCATCTACCATGATGGCAGAGGAAGGCAGGAGAACTCAGGATTCTTGTCAGGTCAGTGATGCAGCCAGGCTTTCTTGTCTTCTGGTGGTTATTGCTTGGGCATGGCAAAATCCCAGGCGGTCTCTTGAGCACACTTCCACATAGCCCTCATGAGCCGCGTGAAGCCCATGTCTTTGGGTTTCTCCAGCCCCCTCATAAGCCTCTGCTTCATAATGGCAACAAATTCCTTATTGCTCAGCTCTCCATTTCCTGAGGGAAGAAAAGAGAAGACCAGTTCAGACAATGGCAAATGTAAATAATAATAATAATAATAATAATAATAATAATAATAATAATAATAATGATGGATCATCATTTGGAACACAACACGCCAAATATCACGGTTATCGAAGGCCGAAGTGTGCAGTTTATTGATATCGCTGTACCAGGAGACACCAGAGTCGAAGAAAAAGAACTGGAAAAAAATCATGAAATATTGCGACCTGGCCATCGAAACTAAACAGCTATGGATGAAACATGTAACAGTGATACCCACTGTCATCAGGGCACTTGGTACCATGTCCAAGAATTTTATAAGATACATCAACAAATTGCAGCTTCTTGCAATAACACCAGCGGAACTGTAAAAAACTGCGCTACTCGGAACATCATATATTTTAAGAAGATACTTGGTTGATACCTAGAATGCTGATAGCAACCTGTATCAACCATTAGCACTAGTCAATTGTATTTGTGACACATTTTTAAATGTTCAGTTGACTGAGTTTCTTGTTTAATGAATAAAAGAGATAATAATAATAAAAAATTTGCAGCAGCCCTGTCCAAAAGGTTTAAGTCATTGAAGACTAATTTCTTCTGGCCCAGTTTCCCTCTTTATTTTTATTTATTTTATTTATTTATGTAATTTATATGCCGCCCTTCTCCCGAAGGACTCAGGGCGGCTTACAAGAAGGAACAAAAAAATTACATAAACATCAAAGTCAATTTAAAATTAGTTAAAATTAATTCAAAATTTAATTAAAATTATTAAAAATCACCCCTACGGATTCAGCCCATTTGGTGAAAAAGCCACGTCTTCAATTCGGGGCGGAAGGAGAGGAGGTCGGGAGCTGTCCTGAGGCCGATGGGCAGCCCATTCCAGACGGTCGGCACTCCCACAGAGAACACTCTCCCCCTGGGGGCCGCCAGCCGACATTGTCTGGCTGACGGCACCGAGGAGGCCCGCTCTGTGTGAGCGCACCGGACGATGGGAGGATGGCAGGAGATGATCCTGCAGGTACCCCGGGCCTAAGGCCTAAGCTCTTGATCAGAAACACTAATTTCATTTCCTACTAGTGTCATTCTCTCTACAAAATAAACCCACCAGGATTTACTTTTTTTTAAAAAAGGGTTACTTGTTAAATGAAAACATAGTCAGCAATTTCTTTGTGGCCCAGTTCTACATCTGTTTATTATTTCTTGTTCACCCTGACGGGCGGAATGGAAAAAGGGAGATTTTGGGAGAATTAAAAAACCAAAAGCCTTATTCTCATAGTCAAATATTATGTAGATCTAGACAAAGCCTACCAATATACAAAGACCCATTGTTGTGTATAGATGAGATTCTGATCCTTTAATTATTATCCTGAACTCTGATTATTAAGAAGCTGAATTTAATGATGGTCTTCCGTTGAAGTAGCGCCTTGATAATTTGGAGAAAAAGATTATTTCACAAAAGTTATTTTTCAGCAGCCTGGTGGAAAGCTTATAATTTAAAATAGGTATTAAAGCAGTATATTACAGTTCTTCCTTTCTACTCAGTAATGAAAGAATCCCCGCCTGGAATTGAATTTACCAGCAACTGAAGCCATGCTAACAAGATAGGTACATGGATTTACATACACATATATTGTAACTTCGATTTTCCCTACTATTCTTTCATGTTGCATTTAAAGAGGTATTTAAAGAGATGGAAGAGGAATATTTTTCCTCTTATGTTCAAATGAAAAAGTTGATTGACGCAAGGAAAAATGATACAAGCTGGCCTTGATTAATGGTGTGGTCTTGTCTTACTGCATCTGCAAGATACCGTACAAGGAAAGCACATGATTTATTGTTCTGAAAGTTTTCGCCACAAGTTGGAACACTCACATATTAAATCTGAAAACATTTTTTCTCTCTCTTTGGTGTCAGAAGATCATGGAGCAGAAGAAGCTAACGTAGTATTATGTGTTAACATCATTACAACCGTATGTATAAATGTCAAAAGTGCAGTTAATGAATTCCATGACATTATCATCACATTGTTTGAATTTGCACCATTCAGAGCGATATTTCTGTGAAAAAAAATACCATAATTGGCTCCAGCTTCACGAAAAGAGGCAATGAGAAATTTTAAGCATAAAAGTTTATATGCATATTAGTGAAATATTAGCATAAAGGATAAAAAACAATATATATTAATTTAAATTTATGATCTACGAAGTCAAAATATAGAAAACAAAATAAAAAACAAAAGAATTCTACTGCAAATTTCAGACATTCCAACATCCTGTCATATTTTAGTGATGCTATGACCACTCTCATGTTGTTCAATGACATCAAATTTCTGCTCTAAAGTAGTAATAAGGATTCTTAAAAAAACAGTTGTGAAGTTTTCTGATGGAATCTTTTCTCCATGTTGTTTGCACAAAGATTAGCAATGTCTAAGACCCTCAACTGCAATTATGCATGCACGAGGCTCCCATTAACTGAATTTTAGGTTGCATTAAAGGTCCAGATTTCGCACTATATCAAATATCACATTTTTCAAACTCACACTAATTGTGCCCTTCTTGTACAACGAGCTGTTATTCAGATGCTTTTATAACAAGCAATTCTGCAATCCAGACCCAAGTCAGACTCTCTGGATAGGGGAAATGCCTTTTATTGCCACTGAAAATTATAATTTAACAATTCTATCAAACATATATGCTTAGGTATCTGACAGTATCCAGTCTTGCCATTTTACAAGGATGTAGTTAGAAGCAGAGAGATCACAACTCTGAAATAACTCTCTCTTTTTATGCACAATAGGGTTTATTGACTTTCATCCAGCTGAGCAAATACGTTGCAAATACCTTTTATACAACCTAACTAACTTAACAATTGCAGGGATTCATTGCAGTGAACTGTGGGAAGACAGTTCGCAATAAAGGAGCATAGTGATCAAACCAATATTTGCTGTTTGCTTCTGATATGATATACTGCTAGAAATCATTTATTAGGAATTAAGCTTTGTTATTGGCTTCTGATATTATTGTATTCTGCCAGAAATTAGTTGTTAGGAACTAATTCTAGCTTATTATAGCCTTGATATTGATTGGCATTACTGCAAAATTTGTTATCTCGTTTCTGTGTCTTGCTTCTGTTCTTGGCTTCAAAACTAGGCACATCCTTGAAAATATAGAAGAAACCGTTACCCAGGAATATCAGGCCCCATAGATTAAGGAACCAGAGTAGGGAGTTTCCTGTCTCATAGATAGTCCCACATCAGGGAGTTATCTGAAAGCCTGAACAAAGAAACCTTTGAAGATAAAGACTCACGTTGGTAACGAACCTTTGTCTCTAATTGGGTAAACTTTGTCTCTAACGGGATAATATATATATAATTCTCTGAGCCACTTTGGCACAGGTGTGGCTATTCCTTACATGCATTTTGCCTGTATGTTTTGGATTCACCCAGTTATTTTAGCTTTGGCCAAAAATAAAAGCTGTTATTTTTTGCAAGCCTCGTCTGGAGTCTCACTCTCTTTGGCATCTCAATGGCTTGGGGAAACTTCTGTGACCTTACAATAACATGGGCCAAAATTCACTTAACCACTGATTGGCTTAACAACAGTAAGTTTGGACTCGGTTATGATGGTAAGGTGAGAGCTACCTCTGTTTATTGTTCTTTCCCCCCAAAATTACAACCTAAATTGTAATTTGTAATTGTAAATTGTAAAATGCAGTTATTCGTACGTTTTCTCAGTTCACTGAAGCTATAACTCTTCAAGTGGTCCATTATTTTAAGCCAAAATAAACTAATGGAAAATAAATTTAACGCATTGCTAAGCTGGCATGCTGAAACATACAAAGAAACATCTCAATGAAAAAGAAACATCACTAATGTGGATTACCCAACAAAAACTGTGTTATAGTCATTAACCAGAAATCCAACATCATAAATAAACAATATCCGATGCAGAATAAAATAGTCAACGATTTTCATTTGGAAAGTTCCTGTTCAGAATATTGGGTTTCCAATATTCTTATGATTTGAGCGTGCATGCGCCTGGCCTTGAAAACGTGCCTAAATAGGACGTCATAGAGTCGGGGGAGGGGGGGACACCCTCAATCTTCGCTATCAGTTTGCCTGAACCGGTACGAACCGGCTGAATACCACCTCTGTTTCTGTTGTATATGGTCATTCTCTGCCTAGCGGAAAAATGGAAGACTTTAGGATTTTTATCATATATAAAATTGTTCAGATGACTAGGAAGATTGTTAAAGTAATGGCTGGAGAAGCAGTTGTCTTGCATCAGCTTGTCTGGTGTAGCGGTTGAAGTTTAATTTTTCTTCTGAAGTTATAATTTATTTCAAGAGGAAAACCAACATGAGCATCTGGTTTTAAGCCAAAAGCTGCTCTCAGAGAACCAGAGAAGTATGAAATAGGAAGGTATTCTCTGCTCATTTGGTAAACGTTGTGTTGGCTCACTTCGAAATGCAAGCCAAAGAAAATGTTTAAGAATCCCTAAGTAGATGTTGTAATCTTACTTTTCTATTATACTTCTTGCTTTGTGTTTTTCTGCTTTATAACTCATTCCTTTTTTTAAAAAAGTAAGTAAGTTTGTAATCTATCCAGATAACTCTTTTGCATTAAGTAGATTAAAAGATAATAAGTAGCAAGAGGATTTCTTCACCACTCTTCTGTATAGATCTAGAACAGGGGTCCCTAACCCTGGTCCGTGGCATGCTAGCTACAGGGCTGGTCCGTGGAAAAACCTCCCTCCACGGAACCGGTCCCTGGTACCCAAAGGTTTGGGGGCCGCTGGTCTCGATTACTGTTTGGGATATCACAAGGATGCTATACCAAAAGAATAAAGCCAATATAAAACAGTGCTTCTGAATGGAATAGCAATTTTTAGTAAGGTAGTCCTTGACTTACAACAGTTTGTTTAGTGACCATTCAAAGTTACAATGGCACAGAAAAATGTGACTTATGATTATTTTTCAATTACGACCATTAC